TAGTGGATGGGTATTGATCAGGGCGGCCAAGAAGACGCTTTGCAGGATACCTACTATACCCACCACCACCCAGGTTGCTTCTACGTCGTCGGACGGCGTCGCTGCCTCTGCCGCCACCGACGCCGACGCCGTCACCGACTCGCTTCTTTTTACCCCCCCATCGTCCCAGCAGCTTTGCCGACGCCGACGCCGCGACATAGTGCCCCCGATAGCGATATATCCACCCGCTAACCAACCCTATGCTTCTGCCACCCGCACGTTCGATCCCACCTCCTTACGTCCTCAACCTCTGGAACCTCCGTCACCTCCATCGCCCACCCTTTACTCACCCACCCTCCCATTCTCCCCAACTCACCCGAACCCTTCGCTCCACTCGCCACTGCGCTTTTGCGTCGGTGTTGTCGCGTCGCGACGCAACATTTCGACGGCCCCAATGGCCTCCGTCTATACTACCGCCGTCTCCTACCAGGGATGAACGGCTGGCTGAATATCCCAGCCTGTAGACCGATTTCAACCCCTTGCGCCTAGACAAGCTACCGCCGAGGTAAATTCGGCTGGGGATGATCATTTGCATATTTTTGGTATCCCGAAGCTTCTAGAACCTTCCATAGGACTGTACTAACGTTAAGTATTGCCTATGGTAATAGCTCTACCCCGTGAACGTAGCAGACTGTTCCTGTTGTCGTGGGAAAGGATTCGCACTGTCCGAGAGGTAGTCTGTCAGATGTGTTGCTTTCCTTTCGATGAGAGATAAAGACCAGATCGTCTTTTTTTTTTATTTGACATCCTGAAGACGCTCGCAATTGGTGGGCTTCGCGGACCATTCCCACCTGCCGCTCTTCCACGGCAGACACAGAGGAGAGTCCACGCGCCACCGGGACACCGGCAGAAGTCGTTCCGAGTAAAAGCCGTCTGTTACCAGCACCTGTACTCCGGTACGCAAGATGCTCTGTTCCTATATTTTATAAATACTTCTTTATGCCTTTTGAAGGAAGTTATTCTTTTTCTTTATTTTTTTACCAAGGACCAACCGCCCTTGCGCTCATGTGGATCAGGTTTGGTTAGCATGCCAAGAGATGCTCTTTATCGTTACTTGAAATTATCGACCAGAGACACAGGATGGACTACTGTGTCTCGATCGATCTGTAAGAAGAATGGAGAAAGCCACTCTCACGGAAGTAAGTGCCGAGTGACACGTTATCAAAATATTTCTCGTGCAATCAGTCGAGCAAAGAGAATTGCTGAGGTGCGGATGAGAGTGCGAGAATGAGAAAGCAAGACCGAGAGAAAGAGAGGAGAGAGTGAGAGAGTGCTGAGGCTCGAGGTGAGGTCCGCCGCAAAATACAAGTTGGTAGGATATCGACCAGCCGGAAGTCTGAGTAGTTGTTGCCATGGAGACGCTCAAGTCAATTTGACCTGGGCCAACAGTCACCGGCATACTGATGCACGATGTCATCCCATTATTCATATGTTTTTTTAGCACCGCGACAGTTCCTGGATGAAACGCTAAAAATTCGCTGGACCGCAGCAGCCTCCGACCAAAGAAACAGGTACGGTTCTCAAGCGTCGATAGAGCCCAGTTAATAAGTCCTAAGACAGACTCGGTCTTATCTGAATGATAAAAATTTGTCATATCTCAAAAAAAAAAAGACAAATATCCATACGATAACAGAGATCGGTATTCGTCATACGAAATTATCGACGGTGCATCCAGACACCCTGAAAATAAAAATTCCGCCTTAATGACTATCTCCCCGTGACGGAGATGCCGCAACTGGCGAACATCGTGCCAGAGTAAATCGCAGAGCGAGCCGGTCTGGATCGAAGAGCGCAGAGTGGTCCATGAGCGCAGAGAATTGTTTTCGTCGACGGACCAACCGGTTTCCAGGATCGTTCAGACTCTGTTCACTGGTTCGTCGCTCTCTCTCTCTCTCTCTCTCTCTCTCTCTCTCCCTCTCTCTCCCCCCCCTCGTCTCTTGCCTCTTGTTCCTTTTCTCTCTCAAATAAATTAACCCCACGGTAATACGGTGGTGTGTGTTCCCCTACCCCCTTAAATTCCCCCTCCGTAACCCCATCCTCCTCTTTGGAGAACTTCTGCCGAGAATATGGGAGCATGACCCCATAGAGATGGTTGCGCGAGTGTCGCGCGGCGCACGCTCTACAGTGTAAAGGTAGTAGCGAGTCTCTTGGTGTACATTACACGTATATATATATATATATATATATATATATATATATATACACATATAGTACGTATATACATCTGGACGCATCTAGATATTTATACGCAAAGGAGAATGTATGACACATAAGTTCGAAATAGCTCGTGAGCGTTCCATTAAATGATGCACGTGACGTAGCCGTCAAGTTTTGGTCGAACGGGGGCATTAATTCCCCCCCCCCGCCCTCCACGCTCCCTCCCTCTCCCCCCTAACCATCTGATTTGATCACGGATAAGAAGTATCAGATCGTGACTCGATCTCGGTACGCTCGATGCACGTTGTGCATTTTTGCCGAAGCGCAAAACCGGCCGTTTTGCACGGTACGGTGTGGCGCATTGTTTGTTTTTTAAAATTATTATTTTTTTCTTAAGAAAAATATGACGATGGGCAAATCATCTGTGTCGGACAGAGACCTCTGGCGAGCTACCCGTGGACACGTAACCACCCCTGCGGCTGTTCGGCCACCCTTCGTGAAACGAACGATTACATCACTCGGGCTGATGCATCATGCACCTATACACGGACGTACGTGAATATATAAGGGATGATCGTGATTGGGGAATACGCGACACATATTGACTTTAGAAATGGACGCATCCGAAGGTAGTAATCGCTCTGTTTGTATATACGAGATCAAACATTTTCCATTCGCGTTAACCGTTCTATTTTTCCCTCCCCCGGATAGAATCGCTCGGATAGACAAGCCTCGGTCTTGCCAAAGAGCTGTCGAGTGTGAATCAATCAAGCGTTTAATTAATTAATCATACGGCAAGATAGCCGGGCAGCGTACAGTATAAATAGACAAAAGGAGGAGTAACGAGGATAGAGAGCAAGAGAGTGATTAATACGATATTCTCTCGCTGAAAGGAATTCTCCGATCTCTTTTGAGTGGCACGTCAATCGACTTTGAACGGGCATTGATTATTGATATAAGGGCCGAGAGGCCGAGGGGGTAAGGCGGGTAACGAATTTGCAAGCGAGAAAGAGCAAGAGTTTGCATGCATAAGGTATAGAATATTCTTTGCCGAGGAAACTATTAGATTTACGAATAATTCATGTGGGGTCGCACCCTGCCAATCCGCCGGCAGTACACTCTCTGGTAAGTTAGGGTAGCCCGCAGGGATAGGGCTTGAGGATGTCGAGGAGTAAAACTGAGTGGAGCCGAGTGCGGACTCTGTTGCCAATCTCACCCTGACACCCTATCCTACCCCATGACCAGGTCCGTTCGCCTATACTCGTTTCTCTCGGTCTCTACACTCGACACAGAAAGCAGAAGAGGGCTATAGCTCCTGCTGGCGTCCCGACCCGACTCCATCCCCCTATTGCCATCCCTATTTCCCAGCCCCGTCCCTCCATCCCATTCCTGTCCTACCCGCGCCCACCACGGCACAGCCACCCACCTATCCAGCCCACCAACCTACCATACCACACAGTAACACCCGACCGACAGATCAATACCTACCAACTACCAAGCTGCTCCCAGATTATCATTCTATCCGTCCACTTTGAACCACCCGAAACCAAGTGGCCAACGTGACCCTCGCTATGACTACTGGGTCTCCCATCCAAATTCTTCACCCTGTATGTATATATCCTTCTCTCTCTCTCTCGCTCTCTCTCTCTCTCTCTCTCTCTCTGTCGATCCCCATTCATCTCCTTCCACTTATATATCCTTCTCTCTCTCTCTCGAAACCAAGTGGCCAACGTGACCCTCGCTATGACTACTGGGTCTCCCATCCAAATTCTTCACCCTGTATGTATATATCCTTCTCTCTCTCTCTCGCTCTCTCTCTCTCTCTCTCTCTCTCTGTCGATCCCCATTCATCTCCTTCCACTCAGCATCTTCCTCCAGGGAATATCTACTGGAGCCTGTCTACTGTCTTACCGCTGCTACCTACCAATGACGCCACATCGAATGACCTAAAGCTTCCTTTCTCATTGGCCAAGAATCCATAGTGATTCTTATATGAGATCCCAGTCTCATTTTCACCCTGTAGAATGAGACGTACGGCTGGATCAGCATTTGCTATCAAGGATGAGGTGGCTAGTCTTGGTGAATGAGTATGCGACTTCGTCAGATGGTTTGAACAGCTTGAAGCTGTATTGTATATGTATATATATATATAGAGTGACTGTTAAAGATACGAGATGACGAGTCTATCGTTGCCGACTGTGACGTCTCGTTTCTGTTGACTTTCCGAAATAAATAGTTCACGAACATCGCAATACTTTGCCAATGAGAATCCTGATGGAGAATTTCTCTATTGGTAGTTCCAAGTACACTCCTGAGCTTCCATTCGACTGCGCTCTACGTGCTCTTACGAACACGTGCACCATTTGTATCGATAGTTGGCAAAGCGAGCGCTTTATCATTTGTTTACATATGCTCAAAGTGCAACTAGGTAAAGGTCGATCTGACGTCTTTAACGCAATCGCTTACAGCGTCGAAGAAAATTCACTTTTCATAACGCCTACGTTGTTTATCTCTGCTGCGCGACTCAAGCGGAAATCTTTAACGTACTGTGGACTCCTTACGGAGCACCGACGTATACTTATGAATCAGCCATTTTTCAAACTTGAATAGGCTCGTGATACTATACGTGCCACGTCAAATTAAAGAGCAACAGGTGTCTCTGCTGATCATCGGATGTGTTCTGCAGTAAAATAGTACAAGCAGCCGTGACGTGGTCTTGCAACAAATATATACATACACGTGAATGTTTTAATACTATTTGCATTGAAAATAAGAAATGAAAGCATGCTAATAAAAACAATTACCTGTTTCAGAAGATCGTTATGTGTTTCAGAATATTTGTCGCTTCATTGTCCAAGAGATATTGGATATATAATCAAGATCCTGTTCCTTCCTTTGTTTATTGAGGAAGATCCAAATTTGACGACCCTATCGAAGACGCATATTACAAAGGACGCTCGGGCTCTAATTTTCAGTCTAGATTAAGACGCACGTCGTGTCCTGTGATATCTGAAAGTTAAACAAGGGTAGGATATCTGGCTCCTGGTGCGTAGGTACACTATATTACGTTGGAACTTACTCATTTCCACGTAAGGAGTCCAGCCCACGTGATGACGCGTCGACTGACGTCACGAGAACCTCCACACCGTCGTGACGCGCCGAACGAGATTAGGTTTACGAGGCTTTGCAGCAATCGCTGGGATTTTCTCCAGGGAACATTCTGGTAAAAAAGATAATGGAAAATTAGTAATGACGAGGGATCGAGTTAATTTTTCTTTAATACAAACCCATTTAGCTTATACGTCGTACAAAGCTTGTCACTTCACAAAGCACAGTCCTCATAACCTCCAAATTGCTATAAGGTGTCACACAAAGGAGAGATGATACATCTGTTAAGATTGGGCTGTATCTCGATCGTCTCATATAAAAAAAAAAAAAAAAAAAAAAAAAAAAAAAAAAAAAAAAAAAAAAAAAAAAAAAAAAAAAAAAAACATTCTCATAATACGTCAGTCGGACCCAAACGCAAGACAACGCGAGTAGCAACAACGTGCATCTTTCTTCGTACTGGCTCGGAGGACATTAGGCGCCAGCTACTGTTTACATTGAAATCGGTCTCCCATTGCCCCTCGACCCACATAGCATTGCAAGGTCTATAAATATCGATAAGGTTTCTTTGCTGCTATAAATTTCCTATAATTCTTACCGCATTGTGTCAAATCGTTAGAAAAAGTGGTTCAGGGGTCAGATAGATTTCTTGATGTTTAGTCAGGAGGTGCCGTAGCACAAGGTACGATGAAAACGCGCAGTACGACCTGACACATCCAGTGCATCGAAACACAAGGAAGAAAAACAAGAGGATCTTATCCGGTAGTTTTGGTAGAAGAGAGAGCATAAATCGGTGGAAGGAAACTTTTCGGGAGCAGTTACTAGTCGCTACACATACACACATATGTATGCGGTTTTATCTGACGGTACTCGGGGATGTTGCGGGTTGATTTATCGCCTGTCGTTGCCATGGAAACCTCGGCGTGACCGGCTTGCGCGACACCCTCATATCCGAGTCGACTCGCTGGTTTGCTCTATCCCTTTCCTTCCCCCTTTCACTCCCCTCTCTCCCTCGCGCTCACTCTCTCTCTCTCTTTCTCCCTCTCTCATTCTGCCCACCTACTCGTAGTTCACTCCCTTTCCTCAACCTTCCCTTCGCCACTCAAACACCATCTTCCTCCCACAGGCATCCCTGGCTCTTCTCACTCCACTAGCCCTTTTCCGCAGTCCTCACTCACTGC